TTCTTACCAACAAGTGAATCTTTAACGACTGTGGATGAGTTTATTAAACTAAAAACTATAAGCTTTTATTTTATTTTCAAATGAAGTTTTTTTTGTAATCATTTTTTTGTTTAAACCTAAAAGCTATAAACTTCTAAAAATCTGTTACCAAATAAAACGAAATATGTAATATTTTTTTATATGATCAAACCTAGGGCTGTAAACAAACGGAACGAATACGAACGATGATTTTTCATGTTCGTTCGTTTAAGTTAGCCGAATAAACAAACAAACACGAACGGATAAACAATCGAGTTTTCTAGTTCACGTTCGTTCGTTTAACAAATTACATTATTCATGTTCGTTAGTTTATGTTCGTGGACATGTTAAACGAACATAAACAAACATAATTGAACATATATGAACATAAACGAACATATAATATAGTAATGTAATCAAACACAATTGAACATATATGAACATAAAATGAACTTAAATGAACAGATATAAACGAACGTAAACGAACAATATAAACGAATGTTCACGAACATAATTGAACGAACAAAACCATTCTTCATGATCGTTCAATTCGCAGACCAACATCTGCGAAAATGTTGGTGGTCAACAAATTTTTTTTACCATTCTTCACAAATGCTATTTTAAATCAACAATCCCAAACACCCACTTGTTACTTATTATTACTAATCTTGGTATAATTTATAGTATCTTCTGTTTACCATTTAAAAACGATTTATAGATCTAATTATAAAATTATAGGTTAATGACTTATAAAGGTCATATATATTAGCTCGTGTACACATTTAGTTCATTTTTTTGTACAGATATGACTATTATTGATCATTGAACTTGTTTAGTTTGTTAAAAAAAACATCCGTATTACCGGTTGGAGTAGGTTTTCGGCCAAATATGAATTTTCCTAGTCATCTTTTCCGGTCAAAACACTCAAGCACACACTCATGAACACACACACGCACACGCATCTAAAGAACAAACGCTCTTTCAAAAACATATCAAGAACATTGTTTATAAAACTCAAGAACATCTCAAGAACAAACCCTCTTCCTAAACATATGATTTTCTTTCCCTCTTTAGAGTCTGAAAATTTTTATTGAGTTTCTGAATACGAACACAAACACAAACACAAATGGTTTCTTGAGTTTTGGGTTTCCATTTATGAGTTTTCACATCTCAAATTCAAAAACATCTCTAAGAACATATTTTTTGAAACTCAAAAACATCGCAAGAACAAACACTCTTCAAAAACGAAATTTAGAGGGTCGAGGGTCGAAAAACGATTTATGGAACTTCAAGTGTGTATGTGTGTATGTAAAGAACTTGTCAGGTATGGTTTGTTCAAGAGCTTGATGAAAATGTACCTTCAAATGCATGCATGTGTCAAGAAATGGGGTCTTCAAATATGGAAAACCTTATAACTCGATGAACTCGATAAAGTTGGAGATGAACTTGTTTCTCATAAGAAGATGAACTCGTTTTTCAGATTTTCGGTTTAGGGTTTGTTCCACCGGAAAAATACACTCAACGAACATAGATGAAGATGAAAACTCCTGGAACTCGTTTACTCACTTTACACATCTTAATTTCTTGTGTGAGTTTTTACTTAAGAAAATTTTCACACATTTTTGTGAATGTTCAAAACACAAATCTAAAAACCAAGAACATATATATGATGTGTCAAGAACTCGTAGGAAAATTCATGTTGGCTGAAGACTAGTCGAAGAAGATGACAAAAGTTTTGTCAGAGCTACCAAAGGACATCGAAAACTGATTAAACATACAATAGTCAGTCATAATGATATTTTATGAAGAAACTAAATAAATTCAATGATCATATATATACCAAAAAACATAAAATAGAAAATATATACACAAATCGACCTATATTTGTGATTAACCCTAAATTATATTTTAAATGAAATATTAATAAAAAAAAATTACAGCCAAACAAAATTTGTTATTGATTATGTCACCTTATAAACTGGACACTTCCGTCTTAATTTAATATTTTAATCGAAAAAAATGGTTATATACACCAAAACTTCCGTCCAAAAACTCATTTATAACTACCACCGCCGTCCTCCACCGCCCTATTCTTCTCCGATGACAACTTCACTTTCCAATTCCACCCTCTTCCACCGTCCTTCCTTTAACCCTAATCCTAACTCCACCACCAGCACCCTCTTTCGACATCCTCCAACTATACAATTCTCCATAAAGGCCACCTCAAAAGACCCAAACAACATAACCACCCCCGACACCGAGCAACCACCATTGCCGCCACCACCATCGGAGAAGAGGTCCTTTGCAGTGGCGACGGGGGAGCTTTTCCTAGGGATAGCATCTCGGATTATTAAGAGCAGAAATGCGATGGAAAGGGGATTGGATTCGGAGGAGAAAGTTAGGATGTTTGGTGAGGAATTAGGGGGCAAGGAGTCGTATTTTTGGAGTAGGTCGAGGAATCGGAAGGAGGTGAAGGAGGAGGAGATTGCGGCGGTGGTGGACGATGGAGACGTGGTGTGGGAGCAGAGGCTGAAGGATGTGGAAGCGGAACGAGAGCGGAAGGCGGTGACTAGCCCTGGGTTTAGCTTCTCTGCTGCTGGACTTTTGTTTCCCTATCATCTTGGTGTCGCCAAGTTTCTAATCGAAAAGGGTTACATTAAGGTACATCATTTCATTCCCTTTTCTTTTCAGATCATGTGTAATCAGATTGCTTGGTATCAGTTAGGTATCAGTTAGGTTTCTTCTTAGTAAACTACGCTAACATTTGCTTCCTAAGACATAGTTTTCTACATGTATGCAAGCATCAATTAGGGTTCTTATCAATACAAACTTAATTCCTAAATCCTAAGATGTGTTGATATATTTTGAATCAGGATACAACCCCATTAGCTGGATCGTCAGCTGGTGCCATTGTATGTGCAGTTGTTGCATCAGGGGAAAGTATGGAAGAAGCCTTACACGCTACAAAGATTTTGGCTCAAGATTGTCGAACTAGAGGGACTGCATTTCGTCTTGGTGTATATTTCTCAACTTATATATATTAAAATTCTTTTTGTTTGTATCATTTTGCTTCATTCTTACAAATGTTTCTATGGGGACAGGCTGTTCTTAGAGAAGTTCTTGAAGATTTTCTTCCGGTTGATGCTCATATAAGGTCTAATGGAAGGGTTAGAGGTGAGCAAAGCATATCTTGTTTTCCATGATAAGGGCATTTACGTCTTTTTATACAGCTTTCTAATAAATTATATCATGAATACAGTTGCTGTAACACAGATTCTATGGAGACCAAGAGGTTTACTTGTTGATCAGTTTGATTCCAGGGAGGATCTTATTAATGCAGTAATTACTTCTTCTTTCATTCCAGGGTATATTAATTTCTTTTTCAATAAACTAATTTGTTCTTATGTTTATGAATTATGACATCATAAATGTAATATAAAAAATAAAAAATAAATCTCTTTTTTCAGATACCTTGCACCAAGACCAGCAATTGTGTTCCGCAATAGACTCTGTGTAGATGGCGGTTTGACTTTATTTATGCCACCAACATCCGCTGCTCAAACGGTAACTTTTAACTTTTATCTGTATTCGTTTACTTATATGAGTAAATGACCATTTTACCCTTGTAATTTTTTTTTTTAAATTTTACAGGTCCGTGTGTGTGCTTTTCCAGCCAGTCGTTTGGGACTGGAAAACATCGGAATCAGCCCTGACTGTAATCCCGAAAATAGAGCAACCCCAAGAGAGGTACAATACAACTTACAAGATTCTTTTTTTTAGCAGCATTAACATTAAAACAACATTGTTCCCATTATCTTACTATTAAACCTTAATTTCCTCAAACCAGCTATTCAGTTGGGCGTTGGAGCCAGCAGCCGATTTGATTCTTGATAACCTGTATGAGCTTGGATACATGGATGCATCCGTATGGGCTGCTTTAAACCCCGTTGATAATTTGGTTCAAGAAGACAATAATACATTTGTTAGATGATAATAATAATAATTAGGTACAAAAGTAAGAGTATAAGTATTTGTATGTTTAGATACATAGTAGGTATCCTACTTTTAGTGCTTTCTATATATAGAAAATTAGGGTTTTGTATTTCGAGTAATTGTACTTGACACGTAATCTCAACACCACCAACATACTTAGGAAAATGCAAAAACAACAAATATCTGAATTCAACTGTTACAGTGTGAGAATTTTAATTCCAATGTGGATTGGGCTGTTTTTGAGTACCGGGCCCTTATGCTAGCCAACTAGTTGACTGGTGTCTGTCGGACAATGGTTGTTAGAAGGATAAATTAGGGTTTTCAACTATGGTGTTTTTATTTTTGCAAGTATGTTGGATTTGTAGAGATTATTGTCAAATACAATGGTCTGAAATGCCTGAGTACTATATGATAAATGATATTATAAGTTTGTATTTAGAACGACAATTATATTTGTAATAGCTTTAAAATGATTTATCCGTGTATTTTCTTGTATAACTTTTATCCTATGTGAAGGTTTAAGGGTAATTGGCCAATGTGTATTATCGTTGATACGATATGCAAGAAACAATTTTTTTTTAATATTATATATAAATAAATGGTATATTTTGGCATTATCCTACGTGTTATATAATTGTAGTCTAGAAAATCAATTGTTTGCAAAATTATAAAATTATGCGTAATATTTGTTCGTTACATGAGAGATTAGAGTCGTTAAACAAAATACTTCAGTTACCTTCTTTTCGTCTTAGGGTTAATATTATTAAAAAAAACATATACTATTATCTAAAAGATCCAACCTCTCACACATGCTTAACCTTTTTGAGAAGGTGACATGACATACATATTAAGCAAAAGAAAACCATCACAAGTCAAGAATCCTTAGACCTTTAGCAACTTACCAAAGTCATCCCTTATCTTTCCTAGAATTCTTTAAACACACCTTATATATACATTTCATCACATTTTTCTCCTTTTCACACCTTTATCCACACACTTCTTCTTATTTGCTATCTTCTCCTTCTAAACATGCCGTTTCCGCCTCGCCGTCGTGTAAGCGTCAACGGGAACCAAAGGATGAGAACTTATCATTACTACTGGTGTCGACGCTGTCAAAGAACATTTAGAACCAGCTCAAATAATATATCTGAAACTGTCTGCCCACGGTGTTTAGGTATTATTCCCGATGAGCTTGATTTCCAACGGCCTAGGTTGGTATCCAACATCGCAGATATTGAACCGTCTTTAGCCACACAATTTATAGAGAATTTGGCTCTTCTATTTGACCCACCCGAGCCACCACCACAATTTATCAGACAACAAGGTCCTAATACTGAAATTGAACAAGGTCTAGATTCCAACTTTATTTTCCATGTGACTGGCTTGCAACCTAATGGTGAATCTCTTAGTCATCAAAATGCAACTTTTGAGGAACCGAATGATGTTTCCAATGAAGAAGAGGGCACAAGGTCACCACCAACACCAATTTCAGTTATCGAAGCCTTGCCACTTGTCAGCCTAACTCAATCTCACTTGGCTAACAAATCAGATTGCCCAATTTGTAAAGATGAATTTGAAGTTGGAGGAGAAGTAAGGGAGTTACCTTGTAAACATTTTTATCATCCCGATTGTATCATTCCCTGGCTAAGTGTTCATAATACATGCCCCGTATGTCGATATGTGATACAAGGTCTCTTAAACAATTATGCCCACACACATTATGAAGAAGATGGTTTCGCAAGACAAGGTTCTCGAAACTCTATCAACATGAATCGGAGCTTAGAGCAATTTATCACTTTATGGCCTTTCAGAGCTTTCTCAAACTCGACATTTGGACATGCTAATTTTCATGACATGAATAATCCAACTTCTCTCTTAGGTTCGTATATATAAATCTTGAACATTGTTTTTATTTGAATTCCGTTTATTTATTTGTAGTTAACCATCTAATGATCATCCTATATGTTTTGCAGATAGAATTGGCGACACACTTGGTTCGGTTTATGACTTCTTATTTAATTTGGTGTCACCTTTTAGAAATAATATATATTAAGACGTTCTAAACAAGATAAGATAAATTTCATAATGTATGTCATTTGAACAATTTAAAAATGACAATATTATTCAATGAAAATATTGAAATTCGGTTCTATCAAAGATATGTGTTGGATTGGATCCTTACACTACTCTTTATTTGGATTATTCTTGTGTGATGTTCATGTTAATATTCTCTAGATTGATCCTTGTAAAATACGTCTCATGAAATTATAATGATGTGTATTTCTTGTAATGTTTAATATTTATTTGGTTATTAATTTATGTTACCATAACCTTCAATTCGTAAATTGAGTCGTTGCTACGTAAAAAGTTGGTGATTGCAAAAACATACAATCTATGGCAATATAAAAGGCATGTTTTTGTTATTATAAATTTTTATATAATCTTTTCCTATCTATTCTCTACTTCCCTTCCTTTTACTTCTCTTGCGCTCCTATACAAAATCGTTAACAAAAAAAAAAAAAAAAAATCCATAATCCCATATTTCTAAAAAAACTCAAAGATCATAATATTAACAATTTAGTCATCATGGTCAATTAATAATAATTTGATAATAGGTTAAACACCAAAATAAATAAATTTGGGTAATTGATTTTAACTTGTTTATGTAAACAGTTTAAACGTCCGCGCTTAGAAATTAAGCAGGCATCTCGGAAGCAAGTTGGTGAAAAGAGAGAAAGTTTTTTGTGTATATATTTTTTTCTAAAACTCCTTTTTAACCACAATAAATACTAAAATTAAAGACCAATTTACACCCCCATTAACTTTTTCTTTTTAACTTTTGTATAAAATTATCTCTTCATTATCATTGTCTTCCTTTTAGGTGGCTATTAACCATATTGATTTCAATACAACATTTGTTGATGATTTGAAAGTTTGAGACGAAGACTTCTTTTAAATGTTACTAGTTAACCATATTAATGTTTTTAAGTTTTAAGTTATTGTTTTTTTAATTGTTATGGTTTAATGTCTTGTTATGTAATTTTTATTTTTATTTAATGGAAAAAATAGTTTTAAAAAAAATAATTGTTAAAAATATTGTGATGTTTGTTAACCTTCCCCATCTAAATGACATGGTGAGGATGGTTTATGACAAAACTTATATGAACAATACACCAAATATGACACTCAAACACGTTCCTAAGGACAATTTGTTGGTGACACACTCCACTGATACTCGAGGATATTAAGAATTTTAATGGCGAATTCATATTTCTAGAAATAAGTCATTTTATAATTAAAATTATTAATTGTACACGAAATTTCTTGGTGACACTATTGATCCATACTCTAAATAAAGAAAATATTTAGACATTATCGATCAATTTACTTAAAAATGATTAGACATAATAATAAATAAAAAAAACAGAATAAAATATGCAACTTACCAAATGAAATTATAATTTGTTAAGACTGCCGATTTACAAACTATTGTGTTTTCTTCTCATATAAAGCATAGTATGTTTTGTTATAAAAAATATTTTACATAGAAAAGTAAATTCTAATTCTAAGGAAAAACAAATCCACAAATCCGGATGTATTCAAGGGAATTACGTACATTCGGTGCTTATCATACATTTGATAAAAGTCTACTAACGACACTTTTTAAAAAATAAAAGATTTCATGATGACAATTTTCTAAGATATAACTAATAACTAATTCCTTATAAGTTACAAATTTTGGTAAGAGTAGATTACAATTTTCCTCCATGTGGTTGATGAAAAGATAATGGTACGTGACTTGGATTGTGCTAAAAATAAACGTTGAGTGATAAAATGACTATTTGCTCTCGTCTGCATCCACGTATGCTTTAATGAATGTCCTAACATATTCATCGTGTACCTAATTTGAAAACCAAAAAAAAACCTACATGTAAAACATTTCTTTATATAATAAATTCAATTTCCTTAAAATCAAATCAAATAATCCTCCAACGAAATTGATAACCAAATCAAGGAACCCAAAAAGAGTTAGAACCAAATACATATTTTGTGCATTTCGAATCAACATGTCTAAATCTTGGTGTTATGTTGATGGTGAATGAAGTTTCAATTGTGTTTTTTAGTTATTGGTTTATGATTCATGGAGTTCTTATGTTCTTAAAGAAAATCCATAAATCACAAGTTAGTCATTGTAATGCATGTCCTATAATTAGAGCTGGCAAAAATCGATTCAACCCGCTAACCCACCCCGAACTCAATCCAAAATTAGCCGGTTGGGTTGAAATTTTTAACCCATTTAAGTTAAATAGGTTAACCCGTTTAAACCATTTAATTAAATAGATTGGGTTGAGTTGGGTTGAAAACTTCAACCTAGTTAATAAATGGGTTGAACTCAAACTCAACCCAAACAGGGACGTATCTACATACATTGAAGGTGGGTCCTAGAACCTACCTAAATTTTAATATTTTCTACAAATTATATAGAATTTTTTTTAAGACCTACCTTTTAGTATTTGAAAAAATTAAGAAACTACCGAATTTTCAATGAGGGAACCACATGGTTTTTAGTTTAGATTCGCCACTGAACGCATGTCGACCCATTGCTAGCTCTACCTATAGTTGTAATACGTATTTATAAACGCAATTGGTATTTAGGTTAAATGTTTTTGAGTTTGTTAATTTGGTTATTGGGTTTGTATTTGAATTCTTTTTATTTTGCTTTTTTAAGAAATAAAAATTCTTACAAAAGAAGTGTTCTAATGGTGGCAAGTTCATTAAAGTCTTTTACACAGAAAAAAAAAAGGTGGATCCATATTCCATCTTTATGGGCGAGATAAAAAGTTATATTTATATCACATCAAAATTATTCTGATATTCAAGTCCAATCCACGTCAAACACAACTTCAGATTATGATTATGTTTTTGTCATGTCTTGTTACCACGTACTGAAAATACAATGTGAAATAATCAACCACAAACCATAATCAATTTCATATAAAAAGGATGCATCTCATTTTTCACTATGTTTCTTATAACAATAGAGTTGTGATCTTGTTTTTCTTTTATCTTATAAAAACAACCAACATAAGTTACACCTTTTGTTGTGAATCAATAACACGACATGGAGACATTAAACTTCTCAATTAGCCGACATTTTCAAGAACAATTCCCTTCGGGAAACATTCCCATTTCTATCTTTCACAACATGGAACACAAAGCGGCCTGCCACCATTTGACTTTGACCCGCAACTTTTTCTTGTTCATGTACAATATTTTTGTGTGTGTGTATCAAGGTGAGTTTGTGTGTGTATATCAAGGTGTGTTTGTGTAAGTGCATAAAAAGTTTGTACTATACTTTGTAAAAAGGGTAAATTCCACCCCTGGATCTCTCCATCAACCGGTTCCACAACCAACATGGAGCAGATAAATCAGACATTATAATGTTTGGAGGAGTGCCACAAGTGTAAAGAAGAAGAGTAAAGGCCATGTTATGTGATTGAAAGAACCATTTGATAAAGCTGCAAAAACGGAGGAAAGAATATTAGATAGTCGACTCTTTGTCAAATACCTAAAATACCATTTGGTAAAGAAACAAATTAATGCTACAATGCATTTGTAGCGAGTGATGATAAGGATTAAAAGGTGAACTCGAAGGTAACAATTAGCGCAACATACTTTCACCATTATATCGAACGATTATATTTTACGTTTATTATAATAATAATTAGATGACTAAATAAATAAATAATTTTGTGGCTAAACAACAAATTAACAAAGGGTTATATCCAAAATCCTCCACAAAATTATGTTAATGTTCTACGTGGATCCTATAATTATGGAAAAATACATAAAACCATTTTGACCATTGACTTTTTATGAAGTCCTCATTGTACCTAAAGAATATATAAACTTCCAAGTTTCCTTAATGTATTATATGATCCCATGTGACTCCTTGACCTACCAATTAGCCCCCGTTGACTTTAGGAGCTTATATTTACTAAATTGACCCTTGATTATGGTTTTGCTAAAAGTCAAGGGAGTTATATGGTGACCTTCCACAATGTTGAGGATATCCAATTGGATCTTTCAATTCTCCAAGTGAAATAATACTATTTTGCCCCTCGACAGGTCAAACCTCTTTTTTCCCATTATTAGTGTTGTGTGGATAATAATTTTTCTTTAATATAAATAAATAAGGACAAATTTGTTATATATTTGGGCTTAATGGGGTATAAAGCTTTTCAAAAGCTTATTACCACTGGAGACAAGAGTTTTGTGCATTTAAAAGAACACTTATTTTCCCAATAACCAAAAATGCTTATTTTGTTTTTATCTTTTTGACTCTTTACCCTATCTCCTCAATAACATTTTCATTTACCTCCCTTGGTCATATTTAGTTTTAACTATCTATTATTTTTTTAGTAATTAATCTGTTTTATTAAATATGCAAATTAAAAAAGAATATTTTTATGGCAATGTTTATAGCAACTAACTTCAAAAAATCATAAATTACTTAAAATAATATAAGAAAGATTAAAAGGCAACTTACAAGACGCGGTTGGTGCAACTGAAATTGGTGGGCCCGCTTCATCCCCTTTTTGTTGACCAGACGTTGACCCAAATGACACAACCGGTAAAGGAGAAAGACCCGGGGGCATTTCAGACTTTTCACTCATGGGTGGTGAAGCACTTGGACCAGGACCATACATAGGCAAGATCTGGGGCCCACCACAAGAATGGTGCACCGAAGGTGCAGGGGAATTTGGCACAGGAGCATGGTTTTGAGGGCTCGGTGAAATGGTGGGTCCCGCATAATCGTTTAGGTCAGGAGATGGGGCAGGGGTAGGGGCAGGGGCATTTAGGGTATGAGAAAGATAAGAAGATAAACTGATTTCTTTTACTTTACCAAAGACAGAGTGATCTAGGCCAAGATTTCTTGCGGGGGGCGATCTTGTAATTGTTTGTGCCAATTGTTTTAATCTTAGGGGCACAAGGTTGCCTAGATCAGATACTATTGATGCCTGGACTGTAACTGGAGGGTCTCTTGTTGATCCAATTTTGTTGGTCACTTGCATATATACACTCTGGGAAACAAAAAACAGTTATTAAATGAAGGGTAAAATGGTCATTTACTCACAGTTCAGACAGAAGGGTAAATGGTTATTGATTCACATTCTCACATTCAAAAAGATAAATTGGTCATTTACTCACATTCTCACATTCTGTGATAGAAGGGTAAAATGGTCATTTACTCACATTCATACAGTAGGCTAAAACGTCCATTAAGTAAAAAAGAAACATCACCTTATCTTACTGTATGCCAATATTAGTAAAAAAAAAATTACCTCATAAGGTTTAAGGTGCAACCCTAATTTTAGCTGTTCCTTGAGTTCACCAAAGTTTTCTTCAATTTCACGAACAGAATTAGGGAGGGTAAAATTGAAAAGGGCTTGTCGCAGCATCCAAATGGCTGGAGATTGTTTAGGGATAATCGTGATTCCACCAGGAAACTTCACAAGATCAAATGAAGATGGATCTCCAAAAATGGAAGTCGTCAATGTCAAATTGAGACGTCGATTGAACAGATCAAGTAACAATGGTCTCAAAACACTTAAAGAAACAAGATTTATTGGAGAATTTATGGGATCGGGTACAAATCCAAACACCACATGGGTCCAATTAGATGCGCTTGCTTTATGCATCGATAAAATCGCAACCTGTAGATCACAACAAAACAAATTGGTGGTTATAATGTAAATGAAAAATGCATTTTTGGGTGGAGATTATATGATGAATAAAGATTTTATTAGCAAACCGTTGTGTTAGGTACGCCTATTTCTGCGTTTATGTCATACTCTAGTCTCTCGATTTGAGGAAGAAGATATGAAATCGGCTTTTGTAATCTGAAATATGCTTGTACAGTGGCTGCAATCACAAGATACATGAAGATTTTGCTCAAAATTGGGAGGAAGCAGATCCAATCTCAGATCATTGCTAGGAGAATAATATTAAGCAAAGTTGATGTATGAAAATCAACATCTAACAATCGTATATAAAAAGATACTGTTCATAATTCAAATTGGTGCATTTGCTCAATTTAGCAAGAATAACGTTAATTTCAAATCTACAATCTAAATATTAACATTTAAGCCAAACAGCAAGACAATTCCCAGATCGTTGCAGATCATATGATCAATCAGCAACAAAACAAAGCCTAATCACGTTAAAGGAGATTAAAAAAAAACAAAAACCCAAATCATACTGTTTAAATCTAACAAGATCACAAAATAATTACCACTGTGCTTGATTGAAGCTTTTGCATCAAACCCAGATTGTCTATGGTGTAAATGGAAGATTGAAAAAACCGCAGTGAGGAGAACAGAAACACTGAGAAGCAAAACAAACACGCATTTGAAACTACACAACCGAGCTATTCTCGAGAAACACATCGGACATCGAACAAACGAAAACATCCCATCATGATTCTGGTCCTGTTGGTTGTGAATTGGCAATTGGGGTTCGGATTTCCCCATTTGCAACGCATCTGTGCACTCACTACCTCTTTCCCCCCTTTTGTTGCAACTCAATTATCAACCTTTTTTCCTCAGAAATATGGAGATTTGATTCAATTTGAAGCTGTGTGAGATGATGAGAGACTAACCACAGCTATTGATGGGTACACATTCTCTTTCTCTCTCTGTATGTAGGTTTGGCACAACTGTAACTAGCACTGAGGAGGAAGCATCTGATTTGCACCACTACAACTATTTTTGCATTTATTATTATTATTATTTATTTTCAAATTTCCTTCCATGTGGGAATGTAAATTGGTGAATTACGAAAAGTACCCTTTGTTATTGTTTATAATTGAATTCCTAACCTTCAACTTTTTATTGGTGGTTACATTATTGAATTTATTAAGCATTTTTTTTTATTTTGTTTGGTTTAAAAAATATATCTATTTTAGAAAATATGCTTGTTACTCAAGCATATATTATGGTTTCTTTAAAAGTATGTACATACAAAATAAATTATTATTCAAAGCTTATCTAAAAAGTTATTGGAAAATATGTGGAAAATTCTAATTATTTTGGAATTACTTTTAATAAAGTCATAAAATTAATTAATTTTACACGATAATTTATCATTTCCTATTAAAATAAAAATAAGGACATTTTCGTTAATTTTGACAAAATATGGAAGTGGATTTTTCTGTTAAAAAAAATATTTATGCATATTTCCCAAAATTATTCATAAAAATATATTAGTATAGTATACACCTTAATATTTCAGTTCTAGACAGAAATACCATTTTTTTCATAATATTAGGTTTGTTTAAACTACATGTACCACATATTAAGAGATTTTGATTTTTTGGTAAACCTTTTTTGTATAATATATTTAAATAATATTTTTTAGTATCAAACAAATGTCATTATTGTAATGAAATTATTCATTGCTAGCAGATGAAGGTTCAATAATCATGAGCTATTCTTAAGAATAATCCGTTTAGTCCATATATGAATAATTTTTTTCATATAATTTACGTTTATAGTAATAAGAATTTCAATTTATCATTAGAATCTAAAAGGTCAAATAAGATACATATTGTAGAAATATGAAAGAAAATACCATCTTTTAAGACCAAAGTTATGGTGATTACTGATTACATATGTTGAAAGTTGCATAAATAATGTGATTTACAAAAACTAAGAGGACATAATTGTAATTTTGAAAAAGACTAAGGGGTAATATTATAAAAAGGAATGATGATTTGGCTACCGAACGTTGAGGGGAAGCAAAGGCGAAAGGGAAATATGAGTGCAATGGATTGGTGGAGAAAAAAGGGTTCTTTTGTGAAAAAAGAAAAGTTAAAGGGCAAAAAAGGATAGAACATGTCATCGTTATCCCATTTTTTTAAACTATACATTTCCTCTACAAACACGGAATAAATAAAGAGATAAATGCCCAACCTAAAAATTCGTATTCTTCAACTTCGTAGAACTTTATAATAAAAAATAAAACTTAACAGCTATTAATAAAAATATAATTTTTTATTCAACAAATTACAAGTTGTTAATATATTAAACCATTCATGTGCATGCAACCATCGTAAGCATTTTACCAAGAGCTCTATACACGAAAATGACTATACTTAGAAGTTATACATGAAAATAGCCATTTATAACTTTTTTCTTACTAAAAATTGATCATCAGTATCGCAAAAACATCGTGAATATGCAAGTTCATCACTTTCCGATCAAGTTTTCCACATCGTGATAAATTTAGCTACGCAAGATCTACGTGAAGTTCTATAAATTGACAAAGTCTACCACTCTTTGTATTATAAACTAGGGGTGAGCATTTGGACCGTTGGACCGGACCGGACCGGACCGTTTTTTTGGACCCCGGGCTGGTTCTCGGTTCTAGGAATCCATCAAACCGGTCCGGTTTTTTTCCCGGTCCGGTCCGGTTTTTACCGGGTTTAGAACCGGTTGGACCCGATTTTAAATTTTTTTTTTGTAAACTTTAAACAACCATAACTCATTCGTTTTAAGTCGAATTGACACGTGGTTTTTTCCAACGTTTAATTTACAGTTTCTAGATGAATTTAGACTATAATTTTGTTGATTTTGGTATTATATTCAATGAGTTACAGTCTTTCAAAGTTGATCTATCAAAGCTGAAAATTTTCAGCTTTTCAGCAACGTTTTTAAAATTTTGTAATCTGTGAAAAATTTTAAACAATCATAACTTAGTCGTTTTAAGTCGGATTGATACGCGGTTTTTTCCAACATTTAATTTACAGTTTATAGATAAATTTAGACTATAATTTTGTTGATTTTGATATTATATTCAATGAGTTACAGTCTTTCAAAGTTGAGCTATCAAAGCTGAAAATTTTCAGCTTTTCAGCAAGATTTTTAAAATTTTGTAATCTGTGAAAGTTTTTAAACAACCATAACTCATTCGTTTTAAGTCGGATTGACCCGCGGTTTTTTCCAACATTTAGTTTACAGTTTGTAGATGAATTTAGACTATAATTTTGTTGATTTTGGTATTATATTCAGTGAGTTACAATCTTTCAAAGTTGAGCTATCAAAGATGAAATATTTCAACTTTTTAACTATTATTTTAGACTATAATTATGAATTTTTATGTATCTTTGACAGATAAATCATATAAAAGGGATCTTGATGAACTTAATTTATATGTTAGTTGCTTTTATTTAGAAAATTAATTTTGTAAGTTATAATATTATAACATCAATATAGATTAGTTATGCATGAAACGAAAAGGTAATCATTTTTACAAGTTGTATCGTATCAAACCCAATAACGTATTCGTTTTAACGAGTTCTATCAAACCCAAAAACTTATTTTAACGACTTGTACTCTATGCAATTAAAGTTGTACCGGTCCAAACGGGTCCAAGAACCGGAAAACCCGGACCTGGACCCAGACCCGGACACGGACACGACTCATCCGGTCCGGTCCACAGTCCACAATATTCTCCATAACCGGTCCGGTCCAAGAGCCGGTCCGGTCCGGTTCGGTCCAAATGCTCACCCCTATTATAAACGGTGGATTCATTTCTTTTTAAGCCTAAATAATATGTCGATATTATCTAAAAGGAAGCGGATGATGAAAACACGGATCAACCTAAACGTTGTGTCAATTGAATTATAAAGAATTTAATAAAAAAAATTGCCATGTACTCCAATCTCGAATCTCGATACCTTTTTTATAAAAAGTTTGAAAACCTTTACCTAATTTATCTAAAACACTTGTCACTCGATTCAAATCCACATTGTTCTCGGTGCTTGGGATGCTCTCAATGTGTTGTTGTGAGTTTGCTTTTGGGTATGATGATGAACAAGCAAAAAAGACTTTTAATTATAAAAGATATGAAGTAGTGATTTTGAAGATAATGCTTTTTGATTAACCATCGTAATGCTTTTTATCCAACCTGATTAGACTATACAATAGACACTTAATACCATTATTATAATCCTTAACTAACCTAATCTTTCAAATCATTACCTTTTATTTTTTATTTTTATTTTATTTTATTTTATTTTTTTGTAGTTTTGTAGTTTTGTAGTTTCCTAGTCATAAACAGTAGTGTTATAGAGACTTGCATCTTATTTTCGGTTTAAAATTTTAAGTTCTGAATAAGGGTTTAGTCCATTGACCACTACTTATGCAGTTATACTTCCACATTTCAAATGTGAAGTTAGGGATGGTTTTTAATTATAAAATGGATGTTTTGTTTCAGAATATTAAAATGATACGACAATTCTTATGACATTTCATGTTTTTATTGGATAAAATGTGTTATTATTAACACCCACTACCCCATCCCCCACACTTTTGTTGAAATCCTCCATTCCAATGACATTTACGGATTTACCCCATTGTCGAAAGTCTCTTTTTCTTTTTCTTGAAAGATATACAGAGCTTTGACTTCACAAAGGAAGGCGATTCTCGTCTTTATCAAGTTACCTTTTGAATTTTGACTGTAACGTTGCATGCATGTGTGTTTGTATTCAACGATGTTTGTATGTGTGTTATGACTTATGATTGTAACAAAAAAGGTCCAGAGGGTTCCAAAGGTGGATTCAATGGGGTATGCCAGTTGGATGAAGTCGGTGGAACATGGGGGAGTCGTCGATGGGAGTGATGAAGACAAAGGATTGGGGTACGATCATTATATTTTAGAAAGTTAAAGGATAAAAGGACATTATGACTAATTCTGATGATTTTTTGGTCCAAAATAGATCAAATGGCCTATAAATGAATTTAGAATTGCCTAAACAACAAAAATTGTAAGATAATAAATTGATTGATGCTCAAAAGAAAATTACATAGGAATATATAGATAATACTTAAACCCTAATGGCTAAACCCTAAAGATTTGGGCCTAAACCCTAATCACTAACATTCCCCTGCTGTTTGATCGGGTGAAGACTATTACACTGGAAAAATAAACACATAAAACATAAAAACTAGATGAAGATAGCGACAACGGCGGTGGTAGAGCTATGATGATGGCGTCTAACATCTCGTCGGAGAAGAAGATAGAAGAAACGACAACTAGAGACGAATCCGTTGTAGAAGAAAAGAAGAGTGACGATGACGATCATACACATGGTGTAAGAGGAGTCCGGAGAAAGCCAGCGAGAAAGAAAGAGGGCTCGAGTTGCGACGGGCGAAGCCAATTCCAGCGAGATCGGCGACTACAATGTTGATAGAGAAAGAGACGATTGTAGATCAGAGGCTGCCCAACGAAGAAGTTCCATTGACAAGGAGGCAGCAAAAGCATCAGAAGGGGCTGAATCAAAAAAGAGATATGAAGAAGTGGTCAGCCGAGGAGGAGGCGGAAGACTCGGAGGCAGGGGTCATCTGAGGAGGAGGTAGAAGTAGACGAGGCAGTAGAAGAAGCTGATGAAAGAGATATGGTTTGGTGTTGACAACTATTTTATTATTTAGGTGCAAAAGAAAAGAAAGAGAAAAAATATGAAAACATAATGAAGGCACATCCAACGTCTATTAGAGAAGGTCATCGGAGGTGGAGGGCGGCAGCTGCGGGTTGTGGTCAACAGTAGTGTTTTTAACCTAGAGCTCTGATATCATGTAAGATAATAAATTGATTGATACTCAAAAGAGAATTACATAGGAATATATAGAGAATATCTAAACCCTAATGGCTAAACCTTAAAAGGCTTGGGCCTAAACCCTAATCGGTAACAAAAATGAAGCTTAAAG